GCTACTGTTGCAAAAAGATCACCACTTGCTGAAGGCTCAGATGAGGATTAGTATTTTTAGCAATAAAGTATTTTTACATTAAGGTATATAAATTATTTTTTAGTCAGAATGCTATTGCACACTTAATAGATTACAGTATAGTGTAAACATAACTTATATATGCACTGGGAAACCAAAAAAAATTATGACTCACTTTTATTGTGATGTTCACTTTATTGTGGTGGTCTGGAACCCAACCCAAAACATTTCTGAGGTATGTCTGAGGAGATTTCTCTGAAACATAGAACAAAGACAGAAGATATATTGATTTAAAGTGTGCTTACTGTTTCATGATGCATTCTACCAGACGAGATTGTCCTAGCTTCACAGATATTTACACTCTTTTGTTATCATGAGGCAGTATAAGGTGGCTATTAATTGCTTAAGTTTGTAGTCAAGTCCTAGCTTCATCCTTGTTGCTGTGTGGCCTTAGACAAGTTACTTAACCTCTCTGTGCCTCATTTCCTCATCTGTAAAAAGGAACCAACAATAGATCAACTTCATTGGGTTGATGTGAGAATTAAATGCAATTCTCCATAAGTGACCAAGATGTTGGATAATCAAGATTCTTGTAACATAATCAGAAAGCCCCTTTACTGTCTCATTGTCTACTTAAAATTTATTTAGTGGGAGAAGGTCTTCCCCTGCTTTGGATGAAAAATCAGGCATCTCCCTCATTTTTCTGACTATCCTTAGATAATAAAAAGTTCTACAACCTCATTAAGTTGTAAAACACAATCTTATTTTTGATGCTTAGGAAGTCATGTTCCATATAACAATAAAGGCTTTAGTTTCATCCAAAGTTCCCCCCAGTTGGGGTCTTCTAATGAGAAGAAGACAGGTATAGGGGACAAAATTCTCCTCTATTTCCTCACCTTACTCCTCTAATCTTGATCTCCCAATTTGATAACCAGGGTTTCTCATCAGTTGAGGTGGGAGGAAAGGTAGGGAGGTGCGTAGAAAAGTTCTTACTTGGGACACTGGAAGATGGCTCCCCACTTTCTGGGCTTGGCAAATGTTCAAAGGTAACTTTTATTTTCTGATGTTTCAGTGTCCCCCACCATGACGTTCAACTGCACTTCCTGTGTTGAGACAAATGTATTTTCTCCTGGTTGCTGTTGGGTTGCTACAGCCTTAGCTGTGTGTGTGTGTGCACGCACGTGCATGTGTGTATCTATGTGTCTCTGTGTATGTATTTTCAATTGCTCACTGGACAGAGAATCCCTGTTGGAGACCCGCTGTTCCTCCAGGCAGTCCCTTAGCCAGGATTTAGGAAGGCTCTGAGCCACCCTTTCCTCCCTGAGGGTCCACACATGGACTCTGTCCTGACACTCTGGGAGCACCTGCTGATTGAGGACAGCTGCAGCTCACCGTCACTCTGTTCATGAAGCTTCTTGCCCACCCTTCTCTCTTGCTGTCTAGAAGCTCCAGTCACAAGTCAGACACAATGACTGGGCCTCCTCATTGCAGGAGACACATTCCAAGCTCTGGATGGTCCCAGGAAGCCCTCTCTACTTGAGATGAAAAAGAAAGCAACCCTACTACACCCATTTGGTCCATATGGAAAA